TATAAAGAACAGTTGAACTGTTGACTGAGGCCTTGACGCTACAACAGAACCAATAGCCCCCACCTTCTCCAGTTCAACCCGAGCAGAATGTTAATGAGGATATAAGTGCCTTGACACAGAAGTTCAACCACCTCCTCCAGTTCAACCCGAGCAGAATGTTAATGATGATATAATTGCTCTGACACAGAAGTTCAGCAAAATGAAACCACCATCCTTTCAAGGAGGCCTTGAACCGTTAAAGGCCGAAGCATGGGTTCTAGAAACTGAGAAATTGTTCGAAGTGTTTCCTTGGTCGGAAGCACACAAGGTATTACTGGCTACCTTTACCTTACAAGAGGAGGCTAGAAGGTGGTGGATGCTTGTCCGTGATGCGAATACTGTCATGACTTAGGCTCAGTTTAAAGAGTCATTCTTCAAGAAGTACTTCCCTCAGTGTGTCAGGGATCGCAAAGTAACTGAATTTGAACAGTTAAAGCAAGGTACCATGTCTATAACCGAATATGAATCAAAGTTTACTGAACTCGCCAGATACGCACCACACATGGTGGACACTGATTACAAAAAGGTTAGGAAGTTTGAAGGCGGCCTTAATGTTGAAATACTTGACAGAATTAATGTGCTGAAATTACTGAAATATATAGATGTTCTTGACTGTGCAATAATAGCCGAGTCGAATATTGAGGCACTGAAACAGACTGAAACACCGGGAACTGAATGGCGCGGTAAGAGATGAGGCTTTAAGTTCAAGAAAGGCCGAAATAATTCATCGAACAAAAAGCAGAATACAGGGTCAACAACCAGTTCCAGGCAGGGGAGTGGCTCCATACCGCCCTGTTCAGAATGTGGTAAGAGACATAAAGGGGTTTGTTATAAGATCTCTGGTGCTTGTTACAGGTGTGGCAAGGTGGGCCACATAGTTAAAGATTTCCCTTCCACTGCTCAAGGCAATAGTAAAGCTGCAGCTAACGCAACAGCATCAACTGCTCCACCGAAATCCAACCCCAAAGCGACTGGAAAAGAGCCTATGAGGCAAGGCTGAGTGTTCGCGCTTGTACCGGGAGATGTGCAGAATACCGAGACCGTTGTGTTAGGTATAATCTCAATCTGTACTCAAAATGCTTATGTTCTGATTGATTCGGGGTCTACACATTCATATGTCTCGCATGCTTTTTCACGGAAATTGAATAGACCATTGGAACCCATAAACTATTTGTTAGCTGTATCTTCGCCCGTTGGGGGATCCATGACTTGTGCTTATATGTACCCTGCATGTGAGATTATTGTTGGAGATGTGCATTTGTATATTGATTTACTGCCTTTGAACATTGACCATTTTGATGTAATATTAGGAATGGACTGGTTAACAAAATATCATGCTACCATAGACTGTGTAACAAAATAAGTTATTTTCCGTCCACTTGGGTTGCCTGAATTTGTGTTTAGTGGAGTTGGTGTAGTACCTCCCCCGTATCTGATTTCATCCATAAAAGCTTTTAAACTGATTAAAAAGGGGTGTAAAGGGTATCTGTGTTGTGTATTGACTATACCTACTGATGCTAAAACTGATGTGAACAGTATTCCTATAGTTAGAGAATTCCCATATATTTTTTCAAATGATTTACCAGGGGATTTGATTGATAGGGAGATTGAGTTCACCATTGATGTAATTCCAGGTACACAGCCAGTATCTAAAGCTCCTTACAGAATGGCACTGACTGAATTGAAAGAGTTGAAAGTTCAGCTGCAAGAATTGCTAGATAAGAAGTTCATCAGGCCCAGTACTTCACCGTGGGGCGCACCGATTTTATTTGTAAAGAAGAAAGACAGCTCACTGAGACGTTGCATTGACTACCGTGAACTGAATAAGGTAATAGTGAAAAATAAATATCCATTCCCTCGTATTGATGACTTATTTGATCAGTAACAGGGTGCCCAAGTTTTCTCTAAAATTGACCTTAGATCTGGATACCACCAGTTGAAAGTCAAGACAGGGGACATTGAAAAGACTGCTTTTCAAACGAGGTACGAACATTATGAATTTCTTGTTATGCCTTTCAGAGTTACCACTGCACATGCTGCATTTATGAACCTTATGAATAGAATTTTGAAACCATTCCTCGATGAATTCGTAGTTGTTTTTATAGACGACATTTTGATTTATTCCAAAAGCATAGAAGAACATGAACAGCATTTGAGAATTGCTTTGCAGACCCTAAGAGAACAAAAATTGTATGCTAAACTGACAAAATGTGAATTTTGGCTTGATAATGTTATGTTTTTGGACATGTAATCTGTAAGGATGAAATTTCAGTTGATCCACAGAAAATTGAAGCAGTAGTGAATTGGCCCAGACCGTCTAATGTTACTGAAGTCCAAAGTTTTCTAGGCTTTGCCGGGTACTACAGGAGGTTTGGGAAAGACTTCTCCAAGATTGCTTTACCGTTGACTCAGTTGACTCAGAAGGGGGTATCATTTGACTGGACCGATCAGAGAGAATCAGCCTTCCAAGAGTTAAAGACTCGACTTGTGACTGCACCGATTCTCACCCTACCCTCAGGTACGGATGGTTATACTATATTTAGTGATGCTTCTTATAAGGGTTTGGGATGTGTTTTAATATAGAATGGTAAAGTTATCACGTATGCTTCTCGACAACTGAGACCACATGAAAAGAACTACCCGACCCATGACTTAGAACTTGCCGCAATGGTATTTGCATTAAAAATCTGGCGTCACTACCTTTATGGAGCAACATATGAAGTGTATACAGATCACAAGAGTTTGAAATACTTCTTTACACAGAAAGAACTGAACATGAGATAGCGGAAATGGTTAGAACTGATAAAAGACTACGATCTGCAAATTCCGTACCACCCAGGGAAAACTAACATCGTTGTTGATGCACTCAGCCGGAAATCAGTTGGAAATTTAGCCTGTTTACTCACTGGGCAGAAAGAATTGCTATGTGACCTTGAAAGATTTGAAGTTGAGATCGTTTTGTGTGAACAAGGTGGAACAGTAGCTACTATTTCTGCTCAACCGGCACTTATTGAAGAGATTAAAGAGAAACAGCAACAACAACAATTTGAGGATCATTGGGGTGTAATGCTAAGCTCCGTGCCTAGTGGCCTCATGGTGGCATTTGTGTTTTGTTGATGAATTGTATGGCAAGCAATAATACTCCTGTGTTCCCAACTTTCCTTCCCCAATACGACATGGGGAATCTTCAAGATTTGCCACAAAAAGAGTGTTGATATATTACTTCCAACACAATTACCGCACAACCCAAACTGATGCTAAGTTGGGTCCGATGTTCCTAACTTCGAAACATGAGTTGTTAAACCCTTAAAATGGATTGATGAAGCCACCTTAAACATGGATTGATCATTTGAAGGGTATTCAATCTTTGCTATTAATTCACCTAGACTTTTCAGTATGCACAACAAAGGAGATTTCTCTAAATGAGCAGATTTCAAAGAAAGATCAGTTCAGACAGGTGGTGCTTTAGTTTTCAATCCAAGCATTGAACTTTGGGACAAAGACATGTTTGATAATCTAGTTCAAAACCTCAAAATAAAAATTTCAGATGGCCATAT